GTTTTGCTTCTTAGACTATTTTGGAAATAAAATATATTTAGATCGATAACAAAAATAATAAAGTTTAAATCGTCAAAATGAATATTTTAAAGTTAATAATTAAAAAAATTAAATAGTATAACGAATATAAGAGAATAAACTGTATTAAAATAGAAATAATATAAGTAAAGTAAGAAACTAAAGTTCAAAATTTAGAAAACAATGTAATTTTTTTCCATTAATTTAGGTATTATTTATGAAAAGAACGAGTTTATATTTCAAATATTTTATTTCTCATATAATTATAATTTAATTTATGTTTCTCATCATTCCAGATAATCATAAAAAGATTTAAAGTTGTAACAAAATAAAATTAAAAAAAAAAACATTTAAAGAATTACCAACTCGTGTCTACCTGAATATTTTAAGAGGAAGAACGGAAAATCTAATTAATCAAATAAAATTATTTTATTACTTTCCTGTATTTATTCAAGTTTGTTGGTGGAATATGGTTAGTTTTAAATTTCATAACGCGTTAATATTTTTTTTTTAATTTCTCCAATAGGATCTTTGTCAATGAAATTTTCTTTATGAAAGAAAGGAAAATTAGAAAAATTTGATTTGATTGTAATGAAGAAAAAATGAGGGCTGTAACAAGGGAAAGAAGTAGTCACTTTTACTTCTGATGTCACGTTGTCTAGAAATCAGGTTCTCATCTCACTTGGATGAAGACTATTAAATTAGTCGACATTGCATTTTCCTGCTTCCATTTTATACTAGATTCTTGTAATGAGACTACTAAGTGATATTGTATTCCTATCTTCTTAAGATAAAAACTCTTTTTCTAACTTCCGCTATCCGAAGACGAATTCTTATAATTAGAACAAATTTTGTAAATTTAATGAAAAATAGCTTCGCAACAAACGAAAGAAAGATGCAATTAAGTAAATATAAAAGCAAAAAGAAATAAAGGAAAAAAAAGTGAGGTTTTTAAAACATTGCAACATTTTTATTTCAATATTCTTTATTTCCAATTCTTAAAAATAATATAATAATAAAAAAGATAGCGGAAATTCTTTTTTAACCAATGAAATATATTTATATAAGAAATTTAATTAAAATTTTCTACATTATAATCCAAAAATAATCCAAAAATTGTTTTTCTTTATTCACTTCAAATAAAATTATTAGTAGATTTTTCTTTTGACAGTCAATGAACATAAAATTATTATTTAGGAGAAAAAAATTCATTAAAAATAATAAAAATATATCATATTTAAAAAGCGAAATTACTTCTTTCTTTTTCTTTTTAGATATTATAAGAAATTTTATCAAACTAAAAATTTTTTAAAATAAAAACTAATTTTTTTTAATGCTGTTTGCAAGAAGTTTATTTTATATTTTTCATCTTAAAACATTTATTTATTTCCTAAAAGCATTAAAACATTGGATTTCTTCAAGCAGTTTATTTACAGATAAAAAATTGATTGATTAAAAAAGTAAGTTTAATATTTAAAAATCGCATTTTGTTATTCAATTAAAATACTTTCAAAAATTAATTTTTGTCAAAAAATTCTATTCTTATCACTTATTATAATTGAGAATCTTGACTTAAAATATATAAATTGTTTGTTGAGATATTTTATAATAAAAAAATTATTAAGATTATTAAACTGTATTTAATTTTATGTGTATAATTATTAAGGATATTATTTTTGAAATTTTAATTTTATATTTAAAAAAAATAGATTTAAAATTAAAGATTATTTGTGAAGAAATTAATTTTGATTTAAAGTTTAATTTATTAAAATCAAGATTATTTATTAAATTATTTTATGTATATGTTTTATAATATAATGTTCGTGTTAAATTTAACTATGTAATGGTTTTTTAAAATAGAAATTTGATAAAAATCTATAACAGGAATTGATAAACAAAAATATTAAATTAAGAATAACATTTAAAATTAAATTTAACTTTAATTTATTTTCACTTAAGCATTAATTATATGAAGCATTATATAATAATAAAAGTTGACAGACACTTATAGTAGACATTTTCAGTTTAAAACGATCTTTAATAAATTCTTTAAGGGAAGTAAATAAGAACTAATTAACTGAAAAATCTCTAAAATCAGGGGAAAAAAGTAATAAAGATTACGAGATATAATTAAATTATAAATTGATTTGTTATTAAGATAATTATTCAATCTATAATTATCTCGTAGGAGGGACGTTACTTAATTTTTAAAGTAATTAAATGATTTAAAACACTTTTTTAATGTATTTACTTAAAAATAATAATCACTTTAAACTGTTTAGAAGATAAAACTTACGAAAATTTATAGCTGATTTGTCATCAGTTATATCAAGAAAAATTTTGTTGCCAGTTTTTTTCGTTTGGATCAATGTATTTCGAGTAGAAATCTGAGATATATCTTCCACTCTGCTGTACAATTGGCTGTGGATTATGGACATAGTTAGAGCTGTCCAAATTCAATGTCATCGGAGCGAACAACTTCGTTCAGATTGGATGTCTAGCTGGAGTCTAAGACTAGGTCTAATGACGTACTCAGTACAGAAAAACCTACATTGCAGGTAGATATATATCTATATANATTACTGCCTCTTCGTGTTTAGGTTTTAATGAATTTATATATATGTGTGTGTAGATTTATATAATATATATACAAATAATATACATTATAATAAATTTTTTTTAAAAAACAGCGTTTTTCAAAACTTTATATAGGCTTATATCAAAAAAATCCCGTATTTTACTCACTCAAACAGGATGTATTCAATGACTACTAATTTGTAATCTTCAGTCAGGAAGTTCAATATTAGCAATGATGTCGTTCAAATATATGATAGGCCCTATATATAAGGTTGCAATTTTAGATAAAAATCTTGCTTTACTTAGCTACAGATATAATAATTTTTTAAACAACAATTAAATTTAAATTTATGTTTTCGAAGTTTTAACGTGTTACGAATATATTTTGATATTAGTTCTCGTAATTACAATCAATATAATGTCATAAANAATTTAAAAGCAGAGAACATTTTACTTGATAAAATTTGAAGAAAATGTTTACTTTTATACATATGCTGCACTTCTTTGAATATACATTACTTAAAAGTTGTCTAAAATAATATATATGTGAATTGTGATGTACTGTAACTGTAAATGTTTACTTTGAAAATATATTTGATTAACATGATATATTTAATAACACTCTATAAAAAATGAAAGAAATTCTATGTTGTTGCTTGTGATAAATCGTCGAGTTAAGTTATTGACAGAAAATAAAGCTAGAGAAACGTAATGGGCAAACAAAGATAAGAAGCCAAAATAAAAAAACTTAATAGTAAATAAATAATGGGTCTAAGTTCATAATTATATCTGAAGTCATTAGAAGTTGTAAGTTTACTATAGATATGGAGTTAATGCATTTTATACGAGAAGAAACGAATTATTTACATGTTTAATATAAAAATAAAAATTAAAAAAAATTGCATATAATGTTTAAGTTTATTTCAATTTATTATTTTTAAATATTTCACCAGTAATATTAAATATTTATTTTTGATTTCGCTTTTATCGTATTTTTTCATTATCCGATACATCTTTTGACAGAATTTTCAATGTTTTAAATATTAATATTTTGTGTCACAGCTTCAGATCTATTAAAATGTTTAGTATTGGAATTAATAAAAGTAATTTTTCATCTTTAATTATTGCGACCAACATACCAATGAAGGTTTTTTCAGCTATGAAAGTATCAATCATTTTCTTATTAATCATTCAACATAACAATTACATATAGTAATAAAATATTAATTTCATGAGATTCAACACTTTTCTATTCATTTTTTAATAAATATTTCATTTATGTAATTTTAATATAGTTTTTAATCAATAAACGTATTGTTTAAACATAATTTCTTTTATCTTTTCGATCGTTTTAGTTATTAGGAAATACATTAAATAAAAATGTTTAAAAAATAAAATATTTCTCAAATTAAATTTAGAGTATTAAAGAAAATCCGGACTTTATAAGAATGGTAGCATTTCTTTAGTCCATATCTTGAGATATTTTCTCTTTACTGTCCACTGCACAGAATCTAACACCAGTAATGCCTAGACGGTGTACCTTCTATACCATTTTATTGTCCGTTGCCTCATGTCGCTGATTGGGGGAAAGAGGGGTTAGCCAGATAGAGATTGAACCAATCCTCGTGAGTCGAGCCAAGTCTCAAGATATTTCTTTTCTTTGGCCGTGTGGTTGTAGTGTGTCCCGCCAGAGGGTGTTTGTCTTAGCGTTAGCTTGGGTAAACTGTTCTGTTCTTTATTGTTCCCACGTACGTTGAACACAGTGACTTCTGTGATAGGACAGAAAACTACACTATAGTATACCACTGGTAAAGTTGGATTTTAGATTCTCTTCCAGTGCTACTAGAATTTAATGTTTTTGTACAAAGAGTCCGGAAGCACTTCAACAAAATACAATGTAGTTTGGTACCTCTAAAGTTAAGGGTGGCTTTCTGTAAATGGATGGAATGCACCAGTAACTTTTTCTTCTTTTTTTTCTTTTTGCAACCAAACACTCTCTTGGCGGTTTATAAAATCTAAATAATTTTATGCGTTTTACATTTCTCCCAATTCTCAGTATATAAAGTATACCTACAATATATATTATGGATTTTATCTTAATTTGTGATATTAGAAATAAATTACTTTTACGGAGAAAGTATATTTATCTAAATCAAGATAACCTTTATAAAATTTAAAAGAAGATGAAAGTAATGCAGAATATGTGAAAATGATGTCGAAAACTTCTCGTTAAAATTATTAACAATGTTAAGATTGTTAACATACAACAATATTGTAACGACGGATATTGTTACAGGTGTAATCAATAGGATATCGATAAATCCCATTTGTTACTATCGTCACAAAAATACAATCACGTAGTTTGTTGTTATTCATGTCGCGCTAGTAAATGGTCGGATCAGAGGACAATTACTGTGCATGGTACAGAATGGAAACGTTGTCCAACTACATGCATTGCGTATTGATTGCGCCTTCCAACGCATTCAACACCCAGCTGAACTTAAGTAAATAGTAATTTTAAGTAAAAATTAAATGTATGTTATCCCTACTGCATTTAGCATTAGAAAAATGGGAAATTAATGATTTAAATTTATGTTTAAATGAATTACAATTAAATATGCAGAATTTATTTTCACTTTTAATAACGAAAGGATATTAGAATGGATTTTTAATTATTTTAATTCTTAAGTGAATCTTACATGATCATTTTCGTGATAGCTTTACGATTAAACTTTCTATGACTTTATTCGATACTTTAAATACCACGCTCGTAATTTATATTTTTAATTATTTTCCATAAAATTTCTAATTACGAAAACTTCATAATGTATATTTAAACGTGTATATGTAAAAGATTTAAACGCTCAGATTTATTTACAATTTAATAGCAACAAGAACAATCACAGACTTTCTCGTTTAATGCAAGACGATTTGAGTTTAAGTAACGTTCAGCGATAAGTAGCTTTTATTAAAAATTATATAAATAGGCTTTGTTAAATTCTTTATTAATTTATTTTAAATAATAAAGGTAATCTCATTAAAATTGAATAATTCTGTGTTGCGTGTTAAAAATATTGACAGTTACTTGTTACTATTATTATTATTTTATGCTATTTTTTCTCCATTATTCTTCACACGTAATGTTGTATGTTATATACAATAAAACATATTCAGTTATATTAATGAAGTATGTTAATAAGGGTATTGCATCTGCGGTTCTTTTCGATGATTTCATTTTTCTTTCAATTCGTTTCTATCATCTGTAGTGCTACATTCACATAAAGTACGATTCATTATCGTTGTAGTGATCCAATAGAAAAACAGCGTGAGTCCTAAGTCACCCAGCAGATGCTAGGCATCCCGCTGAGAAGAGAAAAATGTCCTGGTAGTAATCATGAGACAACTCCACCTAGTAATGATTCCTGCAACGCAGTCCGGGATGGGTGCCGTAATGACAATACACTTAGTCAAGCGTGGATTGTGTATCTGCTGATGTATGTCAGTTTTGAAAGCCAATATTTTCTGATAGTGGCGTATACAAAACTGATTTAATTTTATCTCAGATTTTGGTCATAATGACCAGCAACGTATAAATCTTAATTCTGCTGATCGTCAAGAGAGTCGTTACTACTGCACTGGTGTCGTAAAACGTACTTTTTTCTCCGGCGAGAAAAGAAAACAGGAAAAAAATTCTAGATGGTCGTTTGGTCAATAGAATTGTTTGGCAGATTAACTAGAAAGGAGCCTTTGTCAATGGAAAAGAGGACATTTGCTCATTATGTGAGACAGAGAAGGAGATTATTGTCAGTCACACGCCTCAAATTCTTATGTGAGTTGTAAAACTTGTAGCTGGAAAAATTTCTGCTATACCAGATCATTTGATGTGAACTATACTGTCTAAGGTTATGTATCTCGTTTGGTAGAGACCATAAAACATGCTTCGGAAGCTCTAAGCTTGAATACAATAAAGAACTTGACTTGCTTACAAAGTTTTCCATCCACGTACTCAACTGAAATTTCGGTAATGGCTTTGTTTTGTAATGTTTAGAAAAATGATTCCAAATGTTCAATTTATGGATTTCTTCAGGATTGTGATACTGTTAAGGTAATTGAATATTCTGTAATTCCTAGAACAGTAACAATCGAATCTCGAAAACCAAAGAATCACACTTTTCTACAAACTATTTTCTTTTACCAACTTAGAAATAAATTATATTTAGAAATTTAAAATAAATAACTTATACTATCTAGCAAAATTATAAATGCATCATAAAAGTTAAAAATTAAATTAAAATAATTCAATTATGTTAAATTAACGTTAGGATATTTCGTAAAATATTTAAAACGAATATATAAATTATCACCTTATGGCTAAACCTGTTAAGGCTTTCTAGAAAATTCTTTATTGATTAATCGCTGTTTCTGAAACTTTTATATTCGACGAGACTTTTAGTACCAGAAATTCATTTTGAGAACTCCAAGAAAAGAATTCCGACATCGAGCAGTGAAATCCATGAAGAAATTTTGCTTTTTTTTTTTTTTCTCTCCCCTCTCATTTTTCTATTCTCTGCACATCATCATTACTCCAGAACTTATTTTTTTTCTTATCTTTTACAGATGGCATTTATTTCTTAACACTTCTTTACTATTTTGTTTACGAAGCTAGACAATGTTAGAAGCTTGACATCTAAACAGAAAGAAACCGATAACCAGTAATAAAAAGAAATCTAATGAGAAGTGGGATGTTTGTACTAAAGATATAACGTTCAACTTGTCAACTGTCAATATTTATAAAACTAATTTTAAAATCTTGTTTTCCTTTGTTTTGTTTCTAATGAGGTTGTTTATAAAATAAATCAATGGAAAACTTATAAAAAATTTCTTTTATATATATATATATACGTATGCTCGCTTGTGTGAGTGTGCTTGTTTTTTACTGCTCTTTTTTTTAGCTTTGAATTTTAGAATATCCTTTGAGAGTATATTCATTCAAAAAAGGAGCGAATGATCTTATACTAGAATTTTAAATCAGACATAAAATATAGTTATTCAGCCCATCTATCTGTCAAAAACATTTTTTAAAACTTAAAAATATTTTTCTGCTCAGTTTGTGTATATCATAAATTATGGTAAAGTTCTTCAAGCGTTTTTGATGTTACCTCAGATATATAGATATATATATATTTGAAGTTGTTCGCATTTCCAAAATAAGGAATGTTTCTCAGTTGTTAAGATATTGTGATTTTTGAAAGTTTTTTCAACTATTTCTATTTCCCAACTGTTGCCTCCGGAGACAACCGAACGAAACACAAAATGTTGTCTTTAAATTTCATTTCAAAAGTTCAATAAAATTTTACCGTATCAAAATTCTCTTCCAGTAAAAGAAACTAAATGTGGACAATTTTTTTAACTTATTAAAGGCCGTCTTTTTCACTTAAAAGTTATTTAATTTAATTTAAAAAAAGATGATAACTGTACAATTGAAAAGTGTAATTATTTTTACTAAAAATGTAATATTGTATAATATTATTATTTTATATAAAAATATTGAAAATATTTTATTTTATTACGAGATTTAAATAGTTTTAGTTATAGAAATAAAATATAAATTCAGTTTAATAAAAAGTGAAGTTTCGTTTTATAAAATTGCATCGTGAATGACAAGAAAATAAATCTCTTCAAAAAATCGTATTTAAAATGATAGAATTAATCAGAATTTTTAAACAAAATGCAAGTATATAGAATGATTACATCTTATTCTTCAGGGTACATTTGCCTCAACAGTTCTTCGAATTTTCTATCTCACTAGTTAGATAATTTTATCCCATTTCTCTCAGTTATTGAAGCATTCTGTTAATCTCTTAAAGATATTTTTCTTTTGGAAATAAAAGATAAAAATCTGAAAAGAAATAAACGAATAATAAGTTACGCACAATTTTTTCTTGGTTACTATAATCATCTTATCGTCAAAAAATAAAAAGTTATTATATTCGACATTTCCATCAATAGTAAAGTAAAGCATCTGCGTTGCCTTCCAACCCGTGCATCGAATGGTACAGTCGACGTGGAGTGAAGCGCCCCACACCAGCCGAGCAAGTGGTAGTCTTGTGTCAGAACACTGTCGTCACTAGAAGAGTTAGGAACTAGAAGAACGGAAGGAAGGTTATTCTGAGGATAAGGTGTTTACGGAAAAGTTGCAAGATAAAGAAAGATGAAGTATTGGTGATTCCAGCATCATGTTTTTGGAACGGCAAGTCACTACGATTCAGACCAAGATTACTGGTCGTTATTTGCTTAACTGTGCCATTGTTTTCCTTGTGGTCATCGTTACAAGTAAGTATCTTTTTTCCAAATACACAGCTTGTAATTTAATTTCGATTTCTTTTACAACTACCCTTTTTTTGATCAATGCCTTGGTCGTTTTCTTTAAGTTGTTTCCAAATAAGAATCTTAGCGGGATCGCACGTTACATCTTTAAAAATACAAATTTTTTACTCGCCGTAATTAAATGATACCGATTTTCCTTTTATTCTTACGATTGGTAATAAGAAAACATTAAGTTTTTATACATTTTCTACACGATCTTGTATTTATTTATTTCAAAAATAGAATGATTTATCATTAAAATTGTGTGAAAATGAAAAATTGATATACTCAGTTCGAGTAGTTATAAATGCTACTATAGTGAGATATTAAATTAGAAGAAATATTTAAGAGAAATTCTTTCTATCTTTAAAGGTAAAAGCTTTTCTACCACAGATAGAGAAGCGTTGTAGCGAACAGACCTTAGAATCGAAGGTACTGCAAAGCGAAAAGATTAAACTGCAAGGAACTTTACATTCGCTTCACGATCACACTTCCAATAAAATTCCGTTTAGATAATCGTCGACCTCTGTAATTGAAATTTCGTTGTAACGCTTAGGGTCCCTCCTCCGCACGCTTTGGCTCACGCTTCCAACTTCAATTTCGAAATTAGCAAAGGCAAAAAGCTACTCAAGCACGAACTGGAGCGGTCAATATCTGATTAAAGGTGCTCTATGTCGCTTTATGTTTGCTATTATTTCTAAATCCGTGTGGATTAGTTGTAAAGTTCTTAGCTTGTACCCACTCATTTAAAGCAGCTTTTAATATTTGATGAAATGCTTATTTAGTTAGAGGATTAGATTAGAGATTAGAAATTATTTAGAAGATTATCTCTCCTTTAACAGTAACACCTCAAGCAACATTTCAGCATTCTCATTTCTACTTTAAAACTTGTGATTTCTTACTCATTAACAATTTTAATTGGGTTCCATTTCCTTAAATACAATATAATGATAAATTATATAATTAAAATTTTTTAAAATATAAATATAGGAATTTACAAAGATTTTTAAAGAATAATGGGCTATTAGATATTGTTTAATGGAGAAAATTTTGTTTTTCAACAAGTACCTGGCGACCTGTTTTCTAGAAATTGGAACCGACGTTCTCAGTAAGAGATGTCTAGTATGAGAAATCAGCTGATGATTTCACACGGTTAGTTTTTTATATCCTATTTCGAGCAAAAATCACAAGAAGGAAAAAAATATGCTTTAGATACCTGGAACCATTACTGTGGGTTGTCAGTAACAATGATTGGTTCTCGAAGAAAAGAATTCGAAGAACTTAAATTCATATTTGTAACAAAGCGTAGATTTTTATGGATATTGAAAATATTTATAAAGAAAATTTTTTATTTCTATAATATAAATGTACAAGCAAGAAATCATTTTTTAAAAATAGCGAAACGTTGTAAATTACTGTAATTATTTAATGGTGTGAAGCGAAAGATTGTATAATCAATTAATCCTTCACTTGTATATAACTCGATATTAAGTTTTACGATTACTGCCTCTTCGTGTTTAGGTTTTAATGAATTTATATATATGTGTGTGTAGATTTATATAATATATATACAAATAATATACATTATAATAAATTTTTTTTAAAAAACAGCGTTTTTCAAAACTTTATATAGGCTTATATCAAAAAAATCCCGTATTTTACTCACTCAAACAGGATGTATTCAATGACTACTAATTTGTAATCTTCAGTCAGGAAGTTCAATATTAGCAATGATGTCGTTCAAATATATGATAGGCCCTATATATAAGGTTGCAATTTTAGATAAAAATCTTGCTTTACTTAGCTACAGATATAATAATTTTTTAAACAACAATTAAATTTAAATTTATGTTTTCGAAGTTTTAACGTGTTACGAATATATTTTGATATTAGTTCTCGTAATTACAATCAATATAATGTCATAAATAGAACAGAAATAAGTTAAAATATTTTAAATTGTATTTTTATAAAATTGTAGAATTTAAAATTTTATTAGATTTATTTTTCTTTAAATTTAAAACATAAATATTATATAAATAGCATATGTTATTTGGGAACTATAGTTAAAAAAATATACACATTTAAATTTTAATTAAAATTGATCCATAGATAAATTATGAAATATTTAAAATATATATATATTACAATTTTCTCAATTAATATATAGAGACTATTATATAATTTTAAATGATTTTTAACGCAAGACACAATTTTCAATTCGACAAAATATAATTTTTTGGTGTATCTTTTATTAATTAAATAGGAATGTTATGGTTCATTTAAATCAAATATCAGGATAAAAATAATTTAACTTATAATATGAGTGTTTGATATATTTTTGATAATTTTCTTATAAGAAAAATTCCTATTTATCAGTTCAAAGAATACAACAAATTGATACAATATTGCAATTTAAACTTTTTAATACAACATTTTTAAAATGTTAAATGGAAAAATATCATTTTAATCATCGTCAAATCTTTCGAAGAATTTGTATATGATTTTTTTTTCATTTGGAGTAAAAAATTCTATTTTTTGGGTAAATTGAAACTGAATAAAAAGAAATTTTTATGAATAATATTGTATTAGAAATTTCATTTCTAACATTGATTTTTCGACTTTGCTATAATTACATATGATTAGTTTCTTATGTTATGAGAATTTTAATTTGCCAACTCAAATTAATTTCAAAATATAATAAATGTCATTAATTCTAGGGGGAAAAATTCATTTATTTCATTTTAAATTACGAGAAAAGTTATGCGTTTCAGTTGTATAAATTTATTCAGTTAATAACCATTAAAATAAATCATATTTTCGAAGAATCAAAAATGATATTATAGTTTATTAATTTATATAATTTATAATTTATCTAATGTATCTTTTATTAATTAAGATGGTAACGTATTTATCAACTAACTTAGAATTATATTTGATAATATAAGAAAGCTAATTTAGGATAATGCATTAGCAATGCTTTAATGATTATTAGTCTCCATTTTATAGAAAATTTATGGTATTAATGTTTTTCAATTAATTCAAAAAGAATATTCTCATTATTACCGAATTATCACGTAAGAGACTAATAATTAATCTCATTGCATATTTTTCTCACGTGCTGTCTAACTTTAGTACCTCGTGAGAATAAACGTTTGATAAGAATGAATACTGACAAGTGGGACTTTGACAAACAGGTTGTCATGAATACTTCCACAATATGACATTTCAAATAATGATTGCACGCGTCATATTGTACAAACCGTGAGACCCATGAGATTACTTTGGTGAGCTGAAATTATCTTGATGTGTTCCCTAATGAAGTTCTGGATGATTGTATACTATATCATTTACCTTAAGTCATTACGTGCACTATAATATCTACAGCTATTCCGGTATGTGTGTGCACAGCCTGTTGAATATGTTTATTCGAAATGGTGTTAATTGTACTTGGTAATCAAATGAGGATTCTATAGGAGTCGTGTTTTGTTTACTATAAACGCAACGAATTAGTGGGTGTTTGAATACCGCGTATTGATGTAGCAGCTTTCAATCTAAGTAAACTTTGAAATTTTACATTGATAATAATGTTAAAGAAATTGTTAAAGGAAGCATTTGTTTAAAAAAGTATTAAGTTTGTTTAATAGGAACCGTGTAATGTTGATTAGAAGTATGTTTATTTTGGTATAATCTATTAAATTCACTTTGCCGTGACAAATGATAAGTTTTTTTGTATTTTAATATTCTAAATTGCAATTTAAAATGTTTAATAAAGTGAGTAAAAAAGAATAATTAAGCGAGCAAGATGGTACAAAGATTAAATCGCTACGAGGTAGCGCATAATTTGTGATCTCCCGCAGGATCTTTGTTAGTAAAACTTAAAATTATGCGTTCGGTCGAATTTTAGAATTAAAGAGCTACTCAGCTCTAAATGACACCTATCTAATGACCTGGCAATCAAGTTTTTCAACCAAGCCCACTACACAACTTAATTACTAGACACCGCACACTGGGAGAGGGTGAACGAAGGAAGTCGTTATCGAGACGGACACTTGAACCTTATCGTCTCCAATTAAGTTTCTCTTGTCTCAACCCCGCATCAGAGACGGACAATGCCTTGATGAACACTAATACTATAGTTCGACTAAGTTTGAGATGGCAAAGAACTCCCGTCTGCAAGTACGAAGTTCTCTATGTGGCCACAATCCTCTCGAGATCTCTGTCATCTATCGGCTTGTTTTCTCAACAGATTTCTTCAAGAAAGAAAAAGCACACCCTTGTGTGTTATCCATCAATAAATGAAGTGTGTGGTACATCTTTGCCTATTGTATTGTTTAGTTTACTCTAGAGAAATGCTACAATGTACTCAATACAGAAATTATTACAGTTTAAAAAATACCATGATTCAAAATTAGACCATTAAATTCCCATTCCATAATATATCACTTTGACTTATTAGAATCACATAAAAGCATCAATTTGTATATATGTATAGCTACATTTAAAATTTATAACTGAATCTTGTTAATATACTAATATTATACGCTTTAACATAAATTATATATGAAGCCCTGTTTATGATTAGTATTCTCATAGTAATTACATTAATCGCATTGGTAATAAACAGAAATTAAACCCATAATGGTACGTCAATTGTTATTGTTAGCGATGAGACTGGCAATAAATACAATAACTCGTATAATTACTAAGTATTTCCCCTTTATATAAGTGTAGTTTGATACCTTATCACGTGTCTTAAACCGATTGAATTTTAAGTAATTTTGCAATTCAGCATTTATAAATTTTCTCAATTTACAATCTTTAGTTTTGAAAAATGATGTTTGATTGGACAAGACGGTAGCTAGTTTTATTCTATTTGACCCAGTGGGAACAATCTATCAAATTGAGAAAGAAAACTCTTAGCAGAAAACTACTTTCTTTCCTTTTATTTTGAAGAAACGTTCGTTGCC